AAGCAGCGCGACGCCTCTCAGACTAAGGCCGTCAACAAGTATCGAGCCTATCTGATTTGGCATGAGTCCCTTGTCGCGGCGATCATCAGCCTGCGACAGGCTCAGGAGAGCATCCCACGTCCTGCTGCGACTCCGTCGTCGTCTGGGAAGGCCAAGGTATGATTCCCTGTCTTTGTCCAGATTTTCTTACGGATATTGTTGCACAGGCCGAAGACCCTGTTCCTGAGGCTTCAGGCCCAACTCCTGCCATCGACATTGATTCAGACGTCGAGATGGAGGCCCCCACTCCTGTTCAAGAGAAGGTGCGTCCGTCTCGAGCCTTTGCCGAGCACAGGTTGATTTTTCACAGACCCCGCGACCATCTACTCGCAAGACCGTCGCAGGACGGTCCGGTTCTCGATCGGTCGACGGATCTGGTCATGACGACTCCGTAGGGCTCGCGGACGTCTATGGGACTATCATTCGACTCATAGACGAGCACGATAGGTCGATGCGTCTTCTCAGCGCCAAAATGTCGAAACTTCACGCGGAGCAGATGGAGGCTCTAGGGAGCTGTCTCCAGAGTTTCCAGACGTGAGTTTTACTCAGTCGCGGCGACTACATTTCTGACCAATTACCCAGCCATCGTTCGTTGTCACCGGCTCGAAGAGGCAGCGACTCAGCAACAGTACCACTGATGCGACCCCGGGTGAGTCTCGCAGTTCCACCTCCTGTCGCGACACCTTGCTAACCGATTGGCAGCGTCCGCGTCCGACCGAAGGTTTATTGCGGACCGAGTGCATCGACATCAATTGTACCGGTTGCGGCGGTCCATTCCACTCGAGCTCCTCATCGAGGAACGCGACTACGTCACGTCGCGGCTAGAGGAATGGAAGACCGCGCTCAAGGACGTCAAGGAAGCCATTGACCTCTCGATGTCAAAGAATGCGGCCTAATCTTTTCCTATTTTGTTCTATCTGCACTCTCCTTCCATATGCCTCTCTTCTCTCATGTCACTTATTTATGAAGTCGCGTCTCTTCTTCTCGCGCACCTCCTTTATGACCTTTTTCTCTTAGATACAACCCAGTATAGTCCTTAGGTACCAGCTAGCACCCAAGCAATATACTGAATTCTGTCTAAAACTGAGAGAAGCGACGTCTTGTCGTGCGAGAGCCTGCCGCGACAATTGCTTGTCTGCCAGACTTTCACTCGACAGAAGCTGGATCCTCTACAGGGTCGTCGTCGTCGTCACTGTCCGAGTTCTTGAGTTTCACGCCTTTGAACTGGTAGTCGCGGACGTCAGATATTTCCTCCACCAACTCATCGAGTTTAGCAGGCGAAATATCTATCAGCTTCTTTATATCTTCAGAGAGTGTCAACTTCTGTCTTGCCAAATAGGGTATTACTCGGAACGCCGCGACTTTCGCATGGAACATCGCACCGTTCATTTCACAGACCAAGTAAGAACCTCCTTTGGTCTTTCGAACTACAATCATGGGTCCAAGATATCTAGCTTTCATCTTGTTGTCCAATGATTTTTCAATAGCTGTGTTCCTGACCAACACTAAGTCCCCTGGCACAAACTTGTAATCTTTGATCACATGTTTGTACTCGAGTTCGTAGCGTTGAACCATCTTTAATTTGGCGTCGCTGACGCGGCTGCGCATATCTTCTATATGGTCGGCGTGTTTCGCTAGAGCGCGTGCTCTGAGACCAATGAGATCCGCAGAGTCGACGATCCGGTCAGGATATTCGACTAACCACGTAGCTTCGACTATATCCAGAGGGATGGTAGGGTGGGCCCCACATACTGCGAAGTACGGTGAGCAACCCAGCCCGCGACGCACTGTAATTCTATCTGCCCACAAGACCTGTGGGAAGAACCAAAACCATTTGGAGGCGTTTCCCCCTGTAGCTTTGTACAGTGACTGCCGAATGTCCCAGTGACCTCTTTCAACAGTACCATTCGCTTGGGAATTGTAAGGAGATATCCTTATTCCCTTGATACCATATTTCTTCTGTAACCAATTCAACGCCGCGACAAATTGTCCTGCGTTGTCAGTTACAATCCATTTAGGACACCCCCAGCGACACACTATGTCTTCGAGCAAGAAACGCGCGATTGCCTTGGCGTTGTCAGCCTGCAGCGGTCGCGCTTCCACGTAGCGGGTCAAAGAATCCCTTGCTGCGACGACATATCTGTATCCGTTGGAGGGCGTTCCCATAATCATGACATCTGTATGTATTTTCTGAAATACACTTGGAGTCATCGTCGGCGTCGGTGGAGTGCGGAGGAGAGTTTTCTGGCGGACTTGGCAGCTATGACAAGTCTTTATCCACCAGTCGACGTCTCTTTCCATCTCTGGCCACCAAAACCGAGTTTCCAACAGGCTTTTAGTGCTGAAAAGACCTTTATGACCCAGCGCGTCGTGACACGCCTTCATCATGTAAGTCCTGTGGTGCTTGTCCACGACCAGTCTATGAATCCCGTTGGTCGATCTCTTGTACATTTTTCCATTTTTGAGGAAAAACTGTCGCGAGAATTTGAGAAACGATCTGAACCGTTTATCTGTCATTTCAGGCCTTATAGAAGTGTCTTTCAACCACTTCCTAGCCATTACCAACTTATTGTCCTGTTCAATCCCTGTGCCCGTCCGGTGATCCTCAATATAGGGATCCTCAGGATTGTCGCGCAGTTCAAGATCAGGCAAAAGCGGTTCTCCGTTTGCCACATCGTTCAGCATGAAGACTGGAACGACGAGTCCTTGAGCGTCATATGCGTCTTTGACACGCCGATTCTCAGCGCGACGAGAGTCGCAAGCTTCGACTAGCTCTTTGGATATGTCGTCGACCGACTCAGCACACCCGACCATAGAGTTAAGGTAGCCACCTCTGGTGTCAATGTCCCTTTTGAACTCTTCAAAGTCTAATGGTTGCTCTGTGTCGTAGTCCCAATTCTCATTGTTCTCTGGTGGTGGCTCGTCGAAGATTTCCTCTTCGTCGTTGGGATACTCTTCATCTCCAGGCGCAGGTCGTCGTCGCGACAAGCCATCTGGTGAGAAGGTGATTCCTCTGACATGTTTCAAGGTAAATTGAAACATGAGGATCTCTTCAGCCCAACGGTTGATATTCGCATTTGGTAGGTTACCAACGTTTCTTAGCATGCCTGCCAAGTACAGCGCGTCGGTTTCGACTACCAATTTTCTACAACCAAGAAGCCAGTGAGCCATGGCTTGAAGCACGCGCTTCACACCATAAAGTTCACGCTTCGGTTGAGAAAACCTAGCTTCTCTTTCTGTAAGTGGGATACTCCCAAATTTCGCGTAATAGACCTTCTTTGGATCATCTGGGTCGCGCTGGTAAATTTCGAAACCCGCGGCCATCCAGGATGTGTCTATTGCGACGACAATCTCAGAGTCCCACTCGTAGTTCAGAGGCTTAAGCGACGGACAGACTTGTATCGCGTCTTTAAGTCTTTGAAATGCGAGTTTCTGTTTGTCACCCCATTCAAAATGCGCGTTCTTGTTCACCAGTCTCTGAATTGGTCGCGCCATTTCAGAAAATCCTCTAATGAACATTCGCATGACCCCAATCGTGCCCATAAATTGTCGAACCTCCGAGACGTCCCTCAAGTCTGGCCAACGCATGATTACACCAACTCTGTCCGCGTCAGGTTTTCTACCTTCAAACGAACAGATGTGGCCAACCACAGCGAACTCGTCGGCGCAAACCACCGACTTGGTACCAGACAGAGTCGCGCCACAGTAGCCAATTCTGTGTACGACGCGGTTCACATTCTGAAAGTGCTCCCATACGAAGCGACGGATCCCAGGATTTTCTGGAATTGTTTCACAGGTTCCATCGGGTAACAGATACCTGGTCCCAGGTCCTCGAACGGGTACATCGTCGATGTATGGAATAGTAACATGAGGGATTTCGTCTTTCAAAATGAAAGTAACGTCCTCATGGAATATTGGTACTGAGTTGGTCCACCCTTGTGGGAGTTTGACCAACCTCAGCGCACCGAACGGTGACTGGAATGTAGTCAAGTCGCGACTAGCTGGATCGATGTCACGCTGGTCGTAGCCTGAGTACAAATCTAGCGCAGCACCACAGGCGCGACCGGCGAAGTGGTTTGCTAACTCCTCTGTCGCGGGCGGCAATCCTGAATGTGCGATAGTAATTGCATTGAGTGGTTCTAGCGAGTGCACCAGTCTGATACTCTTCCCATCCTTCTTAAGTACAGCAAAGAACTTGCTTCGATAAGAGGAATTGGAAGGTTCGTAGACTTGGGCCGCGATTTTGTCTTTTATGACCTTGCACACTTGATCGAACATACCGCGAGGTATAGGAATATTCCCTTCGCGATATGCTGTATGGGGAACTGTCGCGATCTTGACAGGAGGAAATATATCCTGTCTTAATGCGCCACGTTCTTCATCATTGAACGCAAAACTCTGATTGTGAAGCATATAGAAGTGCATGAGCAACTTCCGTTCTTCTGGTAATAAGAAGTCTCCTTTGTGTAGCTTTTCCACAATATCCCTGCGTTCCGCCGTGAATCTACCAGTTGGGGTAAAATCAGGTGGTCGCGGGTTCAGAGCAGGTAGCGTATCCAAAGGATCTCCAACCATTTCTCGAATTATTCGATCGTCCTCAGAACCCATAGTGTATACTGGTCTGACCTTCTGGTCCACAGGTTTGTATTTCTTTCCTGCGAACACAGAGTATTTGTCGCGACTAGAAGAGTCGTCGTCTAGTACACTCCAAGTACCAACAGTCAGTTTTTCTGTTGCCGCGTCTGATAGTCTTTCATTCATATATGAATGAAACAAAGTCGACGCAGCGACATCTTTCTTCATTTCCTTGTCCTCTTTCGACGACAAGATATATGCCTCTACTAGCTCAGTTTGAGTAAACTGGCCACTAGAACGCGGCTTTCTTAGATCCTCGAACACTACATTCCCATCTTTTCCCAACGACACAGTCACCGCGACTTCTTCTCCTTGACTCAACCTGGTCAATTCCTCGAAGCTCTTTGAAAATCCCGTTCCGGATTCGGTTCGTCTGGACTGGTCGTCGGTTTCGACGAACTGTAGGGCTCGGTAGATCCGTCGTTGTTTTTAGTGTTACGCGGCAAGTCGTCTGCACGACGTGGCTGCGTAGCCATTGCACAACGTGTCTTTAAATTGGGATCGCGCATAGTGATTATCTGGCTGCCATCGGCCGCGTTCTTGATATTGCTTTCTGTCGCGATATCAAATGGTCTGCCGAGTAACACCTTGTAAGCTGGGCTTTCCAAAATGTGCACCTGCAGGTAGACCAAGATGGTCCCAAACCTGAAGGGTACATTTCTCGCTAATCCCAGTGACTTAGAGATAGATCCATTTGCGCTTTCCATATATATGACGACCTTTGGGTCCCAGCTCAATTGTGCGTCGACGGCTTCTGAGAAAGCCATCGATACAATCTGAGATCCACTGTCTAGGATGCAGTCCGCGTCGAGACGCGCGTTAATCCGTCCGTTTATCGTTCTGAGAGCAGCCGACGAATCACCAACATAGACATGCCTTGGGTTCTCATTAGAGGGTATCGACTCCAAGTACATCTCATATGGGTCCGTCGCGACAACTGCGCCAATGGGAATTTCTCCTTTAACTGTGTTATGATAGAACACAGGCTCGGGCAATTCCTTAGCACTGACTAGGTTGTAGCTCAGTTCTCCATCCCAAACGTCTTCAACGACGCGACCAGTTTCTTGAAGCATGGACTTCTGAACCGGTACTCGTTTCTTCGAAGAGTCCTTCAGAATGGAGTCGCGGACAGTCCCCGAAACTGCTAGGAGTTCACCCACAGTGACGTCGACTGACGCGTTTTTCATTTTGTCGTAGACTGCTTCTGCCACAGCCTTCTTTTGAATCGGTGCACGCAACTGGTATTTATCTGGAACGCGCGCTTTTGAAGAATGTACTGGTTCTTGTAGAACGGGCTTGACTTTCTCAAACGGTAGTTCCTTTCTCTTTTCGACGTTGTCGCGCACTGATTCCTCATCATCGTCGCTATCACTAACTTCTTCAATAATCACAGGTTTCCTCAGTTTCTCTCGTCGCTCAGCTCATTTATCATGGTCCTCAGAGGGCTTGGCTGAGTTTGTGAGTTTAGCCCCCTTCCTTGAACCATTTAGAAACCCGAGTTGTTATCGTTGCGCTCAGGTTGGCTATTCGCACCACGACGGGTTTGAATGAACTGCTCCTGAGTCTGAGGATAACCACTGTTCATGTTGTTGAAGTAGCCGGCCATGGCGTCGGTCATGGCTTTCTGCATGAACTGGCCCATGGCGCTTTCCATTGCATTACTGGTTGAACCAGATGCAGCTCTTTGAGTCTTCGGCTCAGCGCGACTCTCTGGAGTTGGCCGCGACGACTTCCTCTCATATTGGATGAGTTGACTACGAAGGGAGCGTATCTCATCTGCCACTTCTTCAGGGTAGTCGGACATATCATCATTGTCGCGACTATCGAACTGATCCAAGTAGTAGGAGTCCTGGAAGTTGACGGATTTGCCCTTCTTCTTCCAGTAAGCCTCTACTCGTTGTCCCTGAGTCCCTTCTCCATTTGGTAGGAAACTGTCGTCAAAGAGCCTCCACATCCCTTTGGTGTCGACTTTGAGAAGGTTTTTCTCAATGTGAGACCTCTTGAGCGGGCACTCGTTCGACCAATGACCAGTTTGTCCACAGTAGCGACAATCGTCGTTCCGTGCGGCAGCTCCTCCTTGTGCGCGACTTTCAAAGTGGGGCACAGAAGAGTTGTTGCCTACTGGCCGCGACCGCTGTATGGGCGCTTCGCGAGCAGTCTGTACGAACGTCTTCAGCGCTTCCTGCAACTGAGTCTGTAGCTCTTTTTGGTGTAGAAGAAATGAGTCCTTCAAGTTAGAAATCGAGTTTTCCAACTCCTCAACCTTAGCATGGTTGGGTGGACTAGTCTCATAGTCGAAGCGAACCTTTGGAGGTCGCGCGATTATGGGAATTTCGTCTTCGTTACTCAACGTCAACGCCATTTCTTCCGCCATCGTCATTAATTCTTTTAGCTGGATGGGGTCGTCCTGCCGATTGACTCCAGTCGCGGGGACATTAGCGTTTGCTATCCCGGCGCGAGTTTGAAAGCGCTTGTTGAATACTTGACTCGTAGCCAAAGCGTTCCTCAAGACGGTACTGAACTCAGAGTCCAAAGTACGCATGTAGCGTTCACACGCGACTTTGTTGGTGATAATGGCAGGAGGGACTGACAGTCGCTTGTAGTGACTATACATTTGAAGGCCTCGCGACAGAGTCTATCTAGATCCGCCATGGTCCCCGTTTTTCGCTTGGACACCTCAGGGTATCCTTTTAATATTTCGGCCTCGAACTCCGCGACAGTTTTCGTGTCGTCGGAATAGGTATCGAGACCTTCCCATACGTCCATCACTTGCCGCGACGGCAAATAACGAATGTACATGCTTTTTGCCTGTTTGACATCTGTGATGCCACCATCCTCCACGATCTGCGCGCAGTGACGCAAATATGCCTCAATCGACAGGGGATCCTTTTCATCAAGTATAGGTCTACTTGTGTCCCAAGGTTGAGGGATTTTGAACCCAGTCTTTGGAGCCATAGTTGTCGCGACTGAAGTCACAGGGGAAGTAGGGATGTTGTTAGAATTCGTGTTTGTAGCGGTGACGCTACTAGACAATTCTGAGAGGGTTTGTGAGCTAGTCTGAGATCGACTGATTGCCGTCGAACTCGAAGTAGCTGTGTCTAAAGCTGGAAGCTTCGACGTCGAATCCACTCTTTGTTTTCCTTTTGCCTTGGAGGGCAAGGGTGGTAGATACAAAGGTGTTTTATGTCTTGCAGACCTTCGTGGTTTTTCGAAAGGTCCTGAAGTTGAAGCGTTTCCTTCAGTCTCAATCTCCGCTTGGTCCTCAAGAGGTCGCGCAGGAGCTTGGGATCGAAATAAACTGCTTCGCGGGATAAACCCTTGGTCTCTATCCGACGTCGCGGTAAAGAATCCGGTTTATTGATTTTTAAAGTTTATGAAACTTTAGAAGCCCCTCGCGGTGGGCTCCAGATGAAATGCTGAGGGCGTGCTCACAAGTGAATCTACTATGAAAGTAAACCCAAATATAAAACACGTTCACACTCCTCGTAATCAGCTTCTCAGTGTGTGAAAGATGCGAGGGCTTCGGGGTGGACAGAGCACCAGTATCACAACTCTCAATAGACACAGGTCCAATAGTCGCGGAGGCGAAGTCGACGACAAGAATTTATATATAGCAAACAATGGTATCTCAACCAATATCTTCTATACGAACACAACCAACACTAATCCAATCCACAAACAAACAATATAACAAGTCAGAACTTAATACGAAGTATTAAGATCCCTTGTAGCGACAGCGTCTAGATGGTGACACAAAGCCCAAATATCAAGTCGACGCACTGCCAACCGATGCAACCAATATACTGAGTCGACGCACTGCCAACTAGTAAACCAAAATGTCAAGTCGACGCACTGCCAACTGACACAACCAAAAGTACTGAGTCGACGCACTGCCAACTAGTAAACCAAGATGCCGCGTCGACGCACTGCCAACTAACAGCCAATATCCAATGTCCAAAACCCGAGCACAACTTGTCGACGCACTGCCAAGCAAGAAGTGTGGAACCAAAGTTCTCAAGTCGACGCACTGCCAACTGACCAAAACAACCCGAGCACCACTAGTCGACGCACTGCCAAGCTAGAGGTGTGGAACGATCTCAACAAAGCCCTAAGGCGACGACACTAAATGCCGCGACAATACCAGATGCGGCGAATCCGACTTTCTGATATCTCAACTCAAACTCAAATCACAGTAGCTACAAGTGCTCAGGGAGCAACTCGTCGCGACCGGGCAGGGATGGCAGAACTTCTTAGGGTGGAATCACGCGACACGCAAATTGTACAAAACAATCTGAAATGAGAGTGATTCACAGTCCGGGGGAAAGCTTTTTAATACAAAGAGACGACGTGCTACTTATACTGTCTACGACGCTGCTTAGTAAAGTCCTGTACAACTGCATAGTAGCTACGCTATCTAAGATCGGTTGCCTTTTAGGGTAATTGAAAAGTTGAACGATCAGACAGGTCCTGAGTGATCAGGACCCCGCCCCATTGTCCATATGATACTTTTGATGTGGGCCAACTCACCGCGTCATACTTTTGGAATACGACGTGCTGGATTGGCCAACGGGTATGTCTTGGCATGTGAGACCAACGTGGGCGCCCCAAGAAGCCGTATGGCTCTAGGCACGCCAATCGTCTCCCACATGGCTCGGTTCACGGATCTAGCCGTATCGATTTTAGTGTGTTTGAGTATGGGCGCGACTTGCCGTGACACTTGGAAGTGTCACCGCGACGCGTCCACAATGTCCCGTGATTGAATGGATCCTGACATGTGACAAGTCGTTGTTGTGGCATGATCTGAGGAAACGTCCAACTCAAAACCGGGAGTTGCCGCGACAAGATGGTTTAAGTCTTGTAACGCCAAGTCCTGTCCAGTAGTAGTTCTATTATTGAGAACGTCGCGCATTGCTCAGCCCTTCAGCCCAAGTTCCCATCTGCAGAGAATGACCCTTTTTGAGAAGTCGACGCAACGACATATCCCTTTTTGGGGAATGGTCGCGGTCCAAGCGTTCGTCACTAATGGCCCTGAGCCTGGTGTAGACTCATAAGACCAGTTCCACAGTAGTGGTCTGACTGCCTTGCTATCGTCGACACTATCCACAGTCGTCGACTGGGCAGTAGACCCATAAGTCCTACTGAGCGCAACACTGTTAACCGCGACACGATACACCGAGTGGTTCAAGAGTAAACTCTGTAAAAAGCGCAAAAATACGCCCTTACAGAGCTGGTGCAGAGCGCGTCTGGTAGCCAGCCTATCATCGGACTTCTAGATTGTCACACATTTTCCACAGAAAAAAAATAAGTCCCCCCGCAGTGTAGGTGGATGAATGGCAAGTTGTGACAATCAACCCAAAAACAAAGTCAAAAAGAGAAGTGAATTCAAAGACTGGAGAATACAACCAAGTAGCTACAGTATTTATACCCAAATCCAGTCTGAGTCATATCTACAACTAATGAGTCATAGGGCTATGTACCGCATGGAGCACTGGTCATGGGTTGTAGTAGAACCTTCTAGAGCGTGTGTTGCACAGCCTTGAATTGATAAAGACATCCCCCCTGAGCCCCTAGTCCAGACCATCTGATGCTGTGATCTGTGATAAGATAAGATTGTTGATGATAAGATGAAAAAGCAGTCGAACTATGACATTACCCCCTCTCTAGGGTCAATGTCCTCATTGACTGGGCCAATGGGTGTGAAGACGTTTTTGTACGGGTCAAAGAGTTGTTGTTGGGGATATGGAAGGTGCTCATCTCTGGGTTTGTAGCAATGAATGAGATAGTCCCAATGTCCGGCTTCGAGCGTTGGCAGGAGGCGAATGCGTGTGTCTGGGTTTGATTGTTTCCTCTGCCAATCTCTCAGGACCTTCTTTGCGTGGGTAAGGTGACGTGATGGTTCCCAGATGTTCTCGCTATGCGGCCATCCCTTCTGTTTGACCAAGTACTGTTTTCCTCGGCCGACGTTTCGCTCTTTCACGATTTCTTTGACTTCCCACTCCTCTGCTCCTCCGATCATCTTGGCTACGGGCCTCTTCTCTCGGCAAGGGGGGGTGGTTTGTGATAGGGTGTCAACAGTGACTCGTTGAACACCGGGTGTCTTTGGTCCATGTCTGGCAAATCCAGCTTCCATGTGGCCGCTCCAACCTTCTCCAATATCTTGTATGGTCCCAGTCTCTTGTCACTCATCTTCTTCAATGGCCTATCTGTCTTGATATTGTCCCCTTCTATGTACACCTTCATTCCAACCTTCAACTCCAGAACTTCTTTTCTTTGTTTATTGTAGTATTTTTTCATTTTTTCATTTGCTTTTTCTAATGCTGCTTTTGCTTTGTCTTGTATTTCTTTGATTCTTTTTACAAACTCCTCTGCTGACTTGTTTCTTGATTCCATCTGCTGCTCCACTCCCTTCCATGGGTGATATCCGTGATTCACATAGAACGGCAATATTTTGGTAGACATGTTTATTTTGTCATTATATGCAAACTCTGCCATTCCCAGCCACTCTGACCAGTCCATCTGATGGTAATTAACGTAGATGCAGAGATAGTGCTTGATCTCCTGATTCATGCACTCCATTTGTCCATCTGTGATCAGGTGATATGCGGTCCCCAGATTCATTTCCATGCCCAACATCCAATTTGTTTCCTTCATGAAGCCTTTGATGTATTGTGAGTCCCTGTTGGTGATGATCTTGCGAGGGATCCCGTGATAGCGGAAAACTTGGTCCCTGGTTAACTGTGCTACTCCTTTGCTGCTGAAGTCAGTACTAATTGGTTTGACATGGATCATTTTGGTGAAGGTGTCACATCACACATGAATTGCGTCATACCTGTTACTGACCAGCAACCGACCAATTTGATCTATCGAGATGATTTCCCACAGCGCATTTGGAACTGTGTGCGGGTGCAGAGTCCCCGTCCTTGCTCTCCTGGTCTTGGTCCATTGGCACACTTTGCACGTCTGGATGTATTTCCGAATTTGGTTTCCCATCCTTGGCCACCAGTAGTTCCTTTCCACCATCTCCTGCGTTCGGTTGATTCCAGCGTGTCCGACCAAAGGTGTGTCATGGTGTAGCCCGATGATCTTGTCTCGCAGTTCCTCGTCCCTCGGTACGTAGAGCTTCCCCTGGTACGTGATGAGCCCGTCTTCCTTTTTCCATCCAGCAAGTGACTTCTCCAAGGCCGGCTTGACGCTTCCATCAATTGATCGAGTGGCCTTTATCTCATCGATTAGCTGCTGATCCTGTCCCTCGAATGTGACTTCTTGTGATCGGAAGAACTCAGGCTTCAGTAGCGTGACGTCCTTGTTGTCGTTCTTGCCCTGGTCATGATCCGCTTGTCAAGACAAGAGATCCGCCTTGTGGTTGAGTGCGCCGGTGATAGGCTGGCTACCAGACGCGCTCTGCACCAGCTCTGTAAGGGCGTATTTTTGCGCTTTTTACAGAGTTTACTCTTGAACCACTCGGTGTATCGTGTCGCGGTTGACAGTGTTGCGCTCAGTAGGACTTAAGGGTCTACTGCCCAGTCGACGACTGTGGATAGTGTCGACGATAGCAAGGCAGTCAGACCACTACTGTGGAACTGGTCTTATGAGTCTACACCAGGCTCAGGGCCA